AACCCCAAACTCACCGCCCTGGAGTCCATTCCAACTCCTAGTGCCCCTGTAGCGCAGGGTAGAACTGCCCTGTAAGTTTCCGAGACCGTAACTCTTTAAAGGAGTAGAAAGCCTCATCTGTGGTGGCTGATGGCTTCAAACTGTTGACCTTGCGCTTAGCAGCCCAGTGTGTAACCACTAACCACCAGGGCTCCTTCTGTATTCACCATTTATAGTGTTGTTTTCAGTGAAGGAGTCATTAGCCTTGCAAAGTTCTATCTTGAAATCTCCAACTTTGCCTCTGTAACCCAAGTCCTATTTTCTAATTATGGATCCTTTTTCTTTATTTCCAACTTTCACATTCCAATCAATGTTAACCGCCAGTGCATCTCAGTTGTATGCATGATCGGCTTCGAACTAAAGAAGCTGGTAGAATTCTTTAATTTCTTCCTCGCTGGCTTTAGTGGTTGTGCATAGGGTGAATAATAGATATATTAACTGGCCTTTTTGTAGACAGATAGATATTATCCGATCACAGACAGCATTATACTTAAAGCTAGATCTTGAACTGTTCTTTTTGATGATGAATGTGATGTCATTTATCTTGAAGTTGTTCTTCCCAGCAAAGTCAACCTGAGGATTGGCTGATTTAAAATGGCCAGGACCAGTTTATCTCTGCTCTCTAATGGCTAAGATAGTGATCTTTATGCACTCCCTCTCATTTCTCACCTTCCAAATTGGGGACACAGACCATTCCAGTTCAGACTATGTGGTGAACTAAAACAAGTTTTCTTTGTTTGTTTGTTTTTTAATGAAAAGAATTTTTGTAATGGAAAAGGTGTTTTGTTGACCCAGTTCAAGAGTGAAAATGCATACAAAGGTATCTGGTGTGAAATCCTGACCACCGCTTCGCTGCTGAATATTGTTGTGGTCGCCATGGGTCAGCCCTGACTCAGTGGCCACCAGGAGGCTAGCAGAATGCAGTGTCGCCCATCCCATGCAGTGACCACTGGTATATTGGGCCCCATGTTGGCAGCCCTTGCCCCCCTCCATCTGGTTGAGGGGTCCTCTCATTTTCATTGACCCTCAACTGTGCTCAACATGACCACTCTGTCATCAGGGACCCTTTCCCCTTTGCTGGTGCTTGGTCTTTCCAGAAGCCAGCGTATTACTGTCTCCCCATCCTACTTCTCAAGGCCTCCCCAGGCTGTAGTTCTCCTAAGATGTCCCTGTTCATTCTTCTGGCAGTCCCCTGTATATTCACGCTTTGCCGGCACCACCGCTCCGACCCACCATTTCTGCCTTCCTGGCCTCTTACCCTAGAGTCTCACCTTTCAGGGAAGGGGCCCAGGTGCCATGTCGTACGTGCCTGTGAGGCCATTGAGAGACCATGGCTTCAATCATTTGTCCAGTGTGCGTGGATGCTAAGACAGGCAAATGTAGAGGTGCCTTCTTCATTCTACCCTGGTGTTAAGTGGGGAAGGAGTCCTGGTGGCCCAATGGCTGCTCACTGCAAGGTTGACTCCTTGAAACCGCACCCCACCCCCAGCCCTCCATGGGAGAAAGCAGGGGCAGCCTGGAAACCCCAGGGAGCAGTTGTGCTGTGCCCTCTGGAGGTGCTATGAGTTGGAATTGACATGTTGGCACTGGGTTGGTTGGTTTTTGCTTATGTTCGGAAAGGAATCCTCATGACGCCATGCCTCGAAGGTCCATTGCTAGCTGAAAGGTTGGAAGTTCAAACCCACCTAGTATCTCCTTAGAAGACAAGTCTGGCCATCTGATCCTGATTAAAATGCAAACCAAACCCATTGTCCTCCAGGCGCAGTTTCTAGGCTGTGGATCGGCGGCAGGAGCCTTGTCTTGCTCCCTGGGGCAGCTGGTGGCTTCAAGCAGCCGCACTGTGGGTCAGCAGTCCCACATGGCCCCATGCAGGCGCCTTCCCGGAAAGATGACAGCTTGGAAGCCCGGCTCCCTCTCGCAGGAGAGCAGTTCTCCTCTGTCCCATGGAGTCCCCAGGAGTTGAAAACCGGCTCAGCGGCACCTGGGAGCAGCCCTCTCTCTGAGCACCAAGGTAGCACTGGAGTAGTGGCCACACTCCGCCTGCACCTTGTTTATGTCCACGTTGCAGACTGGCGACCCAGGACATCAAAATAGAGATGTCCCTCATCCGGGACATCAAAACAGAGAGCTCCCTCATTCTTTTCTACAGCGACAGACCATTCTAGGAGTAGGAAGCCGCCTCTTCAGTACTGTGGCCATTTCCTTGGTGGTCTCCTCAAATGAGCAGCCTGTGCCACCGTCCCTCTGCACCTAGGCAGGGGCCACTGGTCAGTGACTGCTGCTCACCCTCCGTGGTGTCGGCCGGAACAGTGTTTCCTTGCCTTCCTGGCTCCCTCCTTTTCCCAATTTACACTCCGTCACAGATGGATACTTATGTAAAATTCAATAAAAGGGAATCACCAGAGAAATGAAGTTTTTAGAAGCACGCAAAATATAAGCCTAAACATCTTAATAGATTCCACAGACATGAAATGGCTCAGTTAAATTACAATCCAGGTCTCTACGACCCTCACACATTTCTGCCCTCATCATGGGGTTGATGACTGGACTCCCGTTTCCCACCCTCGGAGTGAGCGCTGCTTCGAGTCCATTCTGACTCACGTGCACCATAGTCAGACTCTGCTCTAGAGAGCTTCAAGGTTGTGACCTTTCAGGGGCAGGTCACCAGACCTTTCCAACAAGGTGCCCCTGAGTGGGTGTGAAGTACCAGCCTCTCAGTGTGTACCACCCAGGAATGCCCAGAAATTAGATTCCGAGGGCAAGGGACAAGTGCCGCTGCCAAGTGATCAGCTATTCCCAGCCCCTCCACAGGAGTGGCACCGTTTTGCACACCTATCAGCAATATACCACAGCCTCTCCCAAGGAGGGTGTCGGCCAACTTGGATTTTTGCTCAACTGGTCAATGAGATGCGGCATCTCAGTGTGAAGTTTGATCTGCATCGCTTTTATTAGTTAAAAGAGCGTCTGATCAATTGACTGGAATGGACATGAACTGTCAGCACTAGCAAAATGATCTCTAAAACAACTTTTTGACAGAACCGCAGTATTTAAAGACTAGTATATGCCCTTTTCCCATTGGTAGGATGGCGGCTAGATGTCCCAGCAGTGGGCCCCGTGGAAAAAAATTATTAAATAAAATCACTCAATCTTGAACCATGGTATTGCATAACCCACATTTTGCCAGTATAAACCAATGGCAGTACTTTGGGTATTCTGCACAATTAAGGCTAAACCCCAGCTCCCTTTATTAAAGCATTTAACTGAATGCAAAAGATACAGCAGGACCTTTACCAATGGCTCCCATATCAGAATGCTACAGGAAAGATACAGCAGAGCGCCTGCCTGATTCTACATGGAATCCCAAATATCCTTTTCCCTGGTTCCTTCCTCATTCCTGGGAAACTAGAGACCTTCTCTAGCAGGTGTTATTTTCTGGGTTTTCTGTCCATGTTGCTAGCCATGCTGATGTGAAGTGTCTCGTGGTTTCGACTGGCTACTGATCACAAGCATCTCCTCACGGTTGTTGGTTGCCTGCGCGCGTATTTACAATCTTTAGCTAATATTTCCTGCTAGATTGTTCCATACTCTCTTCGGGGCCATGGGAGTTCTGTGTACAATGGTCTGCGGTAGGATTTGCAGTTACACGTGACCACTTTGCCATTCTCCTTTTGATTGGGCTTGAAGGGGACGGGCATGTTTGTGATGAGAAGCAGGCGTTTCTGAGTTTTGTAGAATCAGATTTGCCTATCATTATTTTTTGTGGTTTTTGCATTTGGAATCTCTCCTAGGTTACAAAGGATTCGGCTTACATTTTCTTCTAGTGTATTCACGGTTTTGTTTTCTTTTCTCAGACTCTCAAGTAGAAGAGTCCCAATTTTACATCGTAGGGGATTTACAACACAAGCCCTTTTTACTATGCAGTTTCCACAAAGGCTTCATGTCTGCAAGACACCAATGACATGGTATCTGAGATAAGGATGCCGTGAATCTGGGCTTAGAGGTGAAGAAAGAGCTGGGCTTTTTTTTTTTTTTAAGAGCTGGGCTTTGAGCTCCACTCCCCCTTGCACTTGTTGCTCTGAGTTCTCGGTCACCAGCGCTGCCGAGTCACCGTGAAGTTAAGATCAGATGCGAGGATGCGGTTCTGTGGAAAGCACCCAGGAGGGCTCAACCATGAGCCATGCAGGGAGCCCTGATTGCACTTTGAATTAAGCATGGGACTGTTCACGTCCACGTCGACGGTTTAAGCCCATCAGGTACTCCTTGAGAGAAAGTTGAGGCTGCCTGCTTCTGTGGCGATCCACAGGCTGGGAAGCCCTGGCGGCGTCTCCTCTGCCTTGAGGACGGCAGAGTCGGAATCGACTTCATCGCAGCGGCTCTTCGGTTTTACGTTGGTGGTGGTTTTTTAAGAGGCTATGCAGTGTAATCGAGTCTGGACTTTGGAGTTGGGGGGAGATGTTTATTTGGATGCGATACTTTTATTTCCTTGCTGTTATTGGAGACGGAGTGATTGTTTACAGAGCAAATTTGCCACGGTTTTACTCAAGTTTTCAATCTTCTATCCAGTGGAGTCTTTCCTAGTCTGAGGTATGAGTATGCACCCCACTTAATCCACAGCTACCGGGTCCCAACTCCATTTAGTCAATGGTCCCTCTCCACCCTGAGGACACCACCTTTACCATCCACATGGACTTTAAACCGCTTGGGATTGTAATACAGACAGCCCTGTAACTTGTCGGTGTTGCCCAGAATACTGTGACAAGGAATATTGGCTTTCAAGAGATGATCTATAAGTTTTGTGTGATTCGAACAGAGTCACATGAATAAAATACAAATTTTACTAGGAAAGAAGGAAGGCCTCCGTGGGGCCCCTCACCGCCATGAAGACGTTTCTCGCCGTGGCCCTGACTGACGGGGGGCACCTGGTGAAGCTGAGTGCTTGCCTTGCAGGTCCAGAAGCTCGGCCTGCAGAGGCGCCACACCATGGTGGCCCCAGGCCCCCTGGCCGTCACCCTGCTGCTGCCCAGCCTCACCCTGCTGGTGCTGCACCTCTCCAGCTCCCAGGACGTCTCCAGTGAGCCCAGCAGTGAGCAGCAGCTCTGCACCCGGAGGGAGCACCCCATCGTGGCCTTTGAAGGTGAGCTCCGCCTCCCACTCCCGAATCCCCAGTGCCTGGAAGGGTTTAGGGTTGACCTCCCTCCGCAGGGTCTTTGAGACTGGATGTGCCCGGGACAGTCATTTCCTGTAGGACACGGAGGCTTCCTCTGGGGATAGATGCGTTCAGGAGGATGGCCAGGGATGGGCCGGAGGGCTCTGCGTTTAGTGTCCAGGTACTGTCTTCAGACCCTTCCTCCATATCTACCTGGAGGGAGAGGCAGCCTTTCTCTGGGACACCTTTGCTAGAGAACAAAGGTGTACAAGGCTCCTTGGAAATGGGCCAGAGTTTGGCTGCTGTCTCAACTCTCGCTCCTCTGGACGCATTGGCTTCTTCCCCCCAAAGAGAATGAAGACGGGCTTGATCGTTAAGAAGTGCTTGGCCAGCAACCCACATGGAAGAAGCACACCAGCCTGTGTGATCTTGAGGTGTCGATGGGATCAGGCACCGGGTATCAAAAGATCCAAACAAACAACTATATCGATGCCTACAAGGGGGGTTGGAGTGGAGACCCAAAGCCCATCTGTAGATGATGGGATAACCCCCACAGAAGTGGTGTAAGGAAGGGATGATTCAGCCAAGGTGTAGTACAGCACGGGCGAATCACACATCATTCCTCTAGTTCCTGAGTGCTTTCTCCCCCCACTACCGTGACCCAGTTCTAACAGAAATCTGGCTAGACCGGAGAACACATGTTGGTATAGATAAGAGCTCTCGACACAGGGAATTCAGGAAAGATAAACCCCTCAAAATGTTAACGGGAGTAGTGTGGGCTTGGGGATGGTCAGGGAGGTGGAAGGATGAGAAAGGGAAACCCATCACAAGATTGGATCTATAGCCCTCCCCCCAAAGGGGACGAATAACAGAAGGGAGACAAAGGACAGTGTAAGATACGAGATAATAGTAACAATATACAATTGATCAAGGATACAGGAGGTGGGAAGAGAAGGGGGAAAAGAGGAGCTTATATCAAGGGCGTAAGCAGCAAATGTCTTGGAAATGATGATGGCAACATATGTACAACTATGCTTGCTGCAAGTGATGTATGGAATGTTGTAAGAGCTGTAAGAGCCCCCAATAAAACGATGGGGGGAAATAAAGAAGAAAGAATAAAAAAGAAATTTAGAATATAAGAAAAAAAGAGATGGGGAGTGGGGGGAGTGCTTGGCCTTCGCAGAGCTGCCTTCTGCTCTCAGACAGCTGTCGGAATGCCCTTCTGTGGGGTCTCGGGGGGCTCCCCGGGAAAGGGCCCTGATGACTCATCAGCCCTCCCGTGGGCCGAGGAAGAGCGCTGGTTCCTCTCACTACGGTGTTTCCCTCACTGAAGTTCATGGGCAGAGTCTAGAGGAGTCCTAGTGGTCCCGCGAGGTCGGTAGTTCGAAACCACCATCACTCCTCTGTAGAAAGGCTTTCTACTCTCGTCAAAGGTCTTGGAAATCCACAGGGGGCAGTTCCACGTTGCCCTACGGGGTCGCGATGAGTCAGAATCGACTCCAGGGCAGTGAGGTTTTTGGTTTTGGGGGGGCTGAGAGGGCCTATTCTGAGGGTACCATTCTTCTTTATCATAATTCCTGAAATCGGCGTGGCAATCTGTCAGAAGACAAAGCACAAGAACCAAGCAGCCACACCGCTGCCCGTCCCTCCCTGTTCACCAGCTTGCAGGGCGCTGGCCCGGGACCCACCGGCTGCGGCGAGGTGGTCCACTCTGGGGCCCGCAGGAGCACGCTCAGCCGCCCGCAGGTGCAACACTTGGTGCATAGGATGGAAGCCTGAGGCATGGAGAGACTGCTCAGAGCCGGGCCTCAGCACTGGTCCCCCATCCAGGGCTTCTTCCACAGGGCCCTCCCCTCGGGTGCCCTCTTCAGGAAACACACCCCTCTCCCTGTGAGGAGGACGGAGCCCGAACAGAACAGCACATCCATGAAGCTGGCGCTGGCTGAGCTTTGGGCTTTGCGGGGAGATGCATAGGAGGCGGGGCTTCCTGCAACGGGCAGCTGGGGTGTTCTGGAAGTGTGGGGTTCCCAGCTGTGGGCTGGATCGCATCTTCCAGCTGTCAGCTCCGTGCTGTCTTGCTTCAGCTAGGATCTGGGGCTTTGAAGGCTTAAGTGGATTAGAGTAAATTAGCGATGTCTTTAAGCAGACAAAATTTGCAGACACCCTCAGACTTCTGATGGCTCCCGGAGTGCTGGTGGCTGTCACTGAGGAGAAAGGCTGCGTGGGAAGGCAGAAGAGGGGGCTCTGAGGGACGGCTTCTTCATGTTGGGGTCCCCTGTGACAGCGCCTGATGGTATATTTCCTCTCTGGGACTTGCCTGGGACACTGTTCTCTGGCTAATTGTATGGGCAGCGGAATCCCTGTCCCCCAGCCAGGCTGTTCTAGGTGGGGCCTATGGGGTGAGGGCGGAGGGGCAGGAAATGCTGCCCAGGTGCCTGGGCTCTCTGATGCCGTATTTACACTGTTGTCGTAAATATAGAGGTGTGGCAAGCATGCGTCCCCCCACCCATGTTTGCATCTACAACTCTGTGGCATTGAGTGCTTCCCCCGGACTGTCAAACAGGGAGGCCATTTTTGATGTGAGTCACTTGAAGGAGCCTGCTGTCCCCTCCCCAGCCCGACCCCCACCCACCTCCATTCCCAGTGAAGGGCCCAGGTTCAGGCTGCCAAGGCAACTGATGTTGGCTGACCAATTCTCCCTATTTTGCTAGGATTTTCTCTGCTTTCCTTTCCTGGACCTAGACTCCCCCTGCACCCCCCTCAGACCCTTCCCCATTTTGACAGCTGCAGGGTTTCTGTCCCACTGACCACGTCCTTATGAGGCCCGGCATGGCACCAGGCAAGCCAGGGTGCTGGGAGCCCCCGGGGAGCACCAGCCGCACCCTGACGGCTGGGACTAACTCTGCTCCCCTGCACGGGGGTCCTAGACCAGGACAGGGGTCTCTTGTCTCCTGCCTCCCTTAACACTGCTGAACACACAGTAGGGTGTCCTTCACATGGGACATTGACTACACTCGGCCATGGCCGCCCCAGGGGCGGTGGCCGTAAATCCAGCAGAGCACCAGCCCCCTTGCTTCCAAGATCCCATCCGATGCCACACTTCCTGGGTGTGGCATCTGCTCTGTGGGCTCGTGAGTTTCCCTCTCCTCCGACACCTGACTGCTGTGTGAATAACCCCGAAACACACCTCCACCCCCACCCCCAGGATGCGCCAGCTGCAGGATCTGACAGACTGCCCCGTCTTCCTGCTTGGCAAGGTTAGATTTCCTGTGAGAGGTTTCTTCCCAGGCTGGGCACCTGGGGGGCTCTCTGGCCTGTGGAGCATCTCGTTTTCTGGGGTGGCAGCAAGCGGCGGGGCCGGGGAGAAGCCAGCCTGGAGTTAAACCTTGGCGGGTAACCCACAGTGGGAAATTGCAGTGCGGATCATTCAGATCACAGGCACATCTCAGAGATGTCCTTTTTCTCCCAGCTTTGCCCTCAAAAGCCCACACGGTGCACAGAGCCAGGGCCGGGCTTGGGGCTTCAAAGATCGCCTCCCCTCCAGTTCCCTTGGCCTGTTTAGTGAGAGGAGGCGGGCTCCCTTCCCAAGACAACTCTTCCCTCTCTATTGCCACCATGCCTGATGGCCTCCCCTGTCCACCCCCTACCGCCCACATCCATCCCTTTAGGGTGGGAGGGGCAGAGACGAGCACCCTCCCTACTCCCCCACTGTAGCCCTCCACCCTGGCCCTCTTTCCTCCTCTGAAGAGCCTGGGTGAGGACTGAGCTGGCTCCCAGACGGAGGCTCACCCAGCTCACCCTCGCATGTCCACTGCTGCCCATGTCCAGCGAGAATAAAAATGTGACCTAGCACCCAGTCGGTTGAGGAGCCAGCAAGCCCCCATCGTACACATACCATATGTACCCTCGACACCTCACGGTACGCACGGGAAACACGCTGAAACCTACTCAGGTGGCAATCGCACACACCGCCCAAGGGGCACGGGAAGGGGGCCGTCGATGGCGAAAGGGGGAGCGGTTGCAATCGAGGGAGGCTCCCTGGAGGAGGAGGGTCCTTGACTCCGCCTTGAAGGTACTGGAATTGCTGAGCGTGACTCAGAGGTCAGCTGAAAAACCCAGCCCACCCGGGACTCCAGGACCACTTCTCGCCACCTGATACTGCCCACATGTCATCCAGGCTCTGTGACGTTTGTCACCAACCTCTGGTCACCTGCTGGGGTGGGGGTGAGGGGAGCAGAGGCAGGCCCAAGGGGGTTGCTTCATTCCGCTGCAGCATTTCTTCCTTTCCCTGCTCTGTTTCCTTTCATCGTGCATATCACAGTTTTCTGAAAAACATCCAATTCGCAAAACCTCCAGTTCTCCAGGGAGCGATTAAGTGCTTGCCTGTCGTGCAGAAATGTAGGACGGCCTTTACTCTGTAGTGGGGGATAATGAGCAGTGATTTATTTCCCTTGGATTACACACACGCACGTGCACGCACACCTCTTTCTAACACACACAGTCTCTCCTCAAGCACATGCACACACTCCTCTCTCTCCCCACTCCCCCTGCACCCCTCCTCTGTGCTGGCTGCTAAGAGCACATGCACCGTGGAGAGAAAGCCACTCTGCTTCACGGCTCGACCCTTCTTCTGCCTGCGGCTCTCTTGCTCCGTGAGGGAGGGGGAGCTGGCCAAGGCCTGTAAACCAAGATGGGCTACATGGGCCTCCAACAGGAGGCAAAGGGATGCTGTGCTGGGGGGGAAGGGGTGCTCTCCCTAGGCCCTTCTCCCCCCCAAGCCAGAGGCTGTAGGGTCTCCCTGTGAAAGGCTTCACTCCTGGCTGGGAAGAGACCACCTACCCACCTCCCTGCCTCCCACCTCTGTGAAGCCTTACTTGGGGGGACACCGGCTTCTCCTCATAGAGTGGGGGCTCAGGATTTGTTTGATGGGGCTGGGCTGGGCCTGGGTATCCTAGGGGCGGGACCTGTCCTATCCCCGGGGGCAAAGTGTGATGAAGGAGCCCTCACCCCTGGCCTCAGGGAATCGGGGAGGGTTCTAAGGAGGAGGCACGTTAACAGAAACCCCCCTGGAGGGGAAACAGAAGGGCCAGGGTTGTGGGTTCTTGCTGGCTGAACTTGGGGGCTGCACGGAGGTCTGCGTTGGTTAGTGTGACTGGGCTGGAGAGTCTGGAGGACCTTCAAAGGTGAAGCCTCGTTTTTCTCCCAGTCACTTTTCGCAATCAGGAGACAATTCAGACAGCATCTTACCTGTGCCAGGCATTTGACCTGGGAGGAAAGTGGGGCCAAACCTCAAGGTCCAGAAGTTGGGGCTTTTCCCAGGAGCACCTGGGAGGGATGGAGGGTTTAGAGGAGCGTGCATATGACAATGGGTTCTCTGGGTTGCCACATGGGGAAATGCGCAGGAGCGGGCAGGCGTGGCAGCAGGAGACCCGTCCTGAGGCTGTGGGCACCATATAGGCAGGAGATGGGGATACCAGGAGGGGAAGGACCGACTAGATTTCTGGTGTGTGGTTTGTGGCTGGAGAGGTTGTGGGAGGGTCAAGGACAATGCAGGGCTCCCCTGGGGCAGCTGGGGGCAAGGTGGAGCCCTTCTCTGACCCGGGGAGCACGGCGGAACTGTGATGCCCCACTGGGGTCCCCTCGCTGAGTAGAGATGGAGATGGGACAGAACCCAGGTCTCCTGGGTGCCTCCTGCCCCCTTCAGGTGCCTGGGTGCCCCAGCTGCCCATTCTCAGTTGCCTCCCAATTGGCTCCCCATTTCTGGTGTGCCCCTAGTGCTGCTTGGAGCCCTGGGTCCAGCAGTAACGGGCCAGCTGCCTTTCCCCGCTCCAGATCTGAAGCCGTGGCTCTCCAACTTCACCTACCCTGGAGCCCGAGACTTCTCCCAGCTCGCCCTGGATCCCGCCAGGAACCAGCTCATCGTGGGAGCCAGGTAAGGAGGTGGCAGGGCGTCTGGCCAGGATGAAGCAGGCTCTGGAATGGGGTGCAGGGGGTATTGTTTCGGACCTGTGCCCACCTCTGTGTCTTGAGTGTGTGTCCTCCACAAAAGGAAGAGTGTGGTGGCTGGGCAGGCGGGGGGCGGACCCCTAAAGCTCTAGATCTCTCAACACACCTCACACCTCAGTAGTGGCAGCTCTTGAGAGCAGGGGCACCCTGCTGCTGGCCACCTCCCCACACCCATCCCTGCCAGCCTCATGGAGCTCTCCACAGAGAAGGTGCCCAGGAGCCCCCTACTGGCCGGCTGGCCACCTGCACCCGAGGGCAGCCAGCGTAGTAGACAAGGTGCTCCTCCTAAGGACTCCCTGCTTCCTGTTCGCCTTTAGAGACGCGTTGTCCTGTGTGGCACTCGGCTGCTTACTGCAAGGTCGGTGGTTCAAACCCACTATGTGCTGTTCAGGAGAAAGAGGTGGCAGTCTGCTGCTCTCCAGATGACAGCCCTGGGAACTCTGCAGGGCCATTTGATCTATTCTTCCCTGTGGACTCTCCCTCCGTTGGAATTGGCTCCCCTCGAGCACAGGGCCTGGTCCTCTGACCAGCGGAGCACTTGCGGAAGCATGAGTAAAGCAGGCACATCTGGCAGGAGTGGGCTTGAAGATGGTACACCCCAGTGGGGTGTACTCGCGTGACCAGATCGCGGGGCACTGCAGGCCCTCAGGATTCACCCCAGACTTCAGGATAAGCCCAGGGGTGGGGCCCAGCGGTCTGTGTTCTTGCAAGCTCTCCAGGTGGTTCTGGGTTGCACATTTCAGACCGAGATTCGCTGGTTGAATCCGACTGTCCTCATGCTAAACACAAAGAAGCAGAGACCTTGAAAGGAGACAGTGACGCCCCCATCCCCTCCCCCCATTGATCACGTAGCAATATGACAAAAGAATATGGGGCCTAGAAGCCAGGTCCCTGACCTGGGGGCTAGCCTTCTTTCTGCCACATCTGTGTTACCAGTGTGGCCTCTACTGGTCTTTTTGAAGAAGCTCTGCAGCCCAGAGGTTGTGGTTCAGCTGGGCTGGGGTTGGGGAGAAGGTGGCCACAGGGTATCCTTCCTGGGCTATGCCCCAGCTGCCCATTCTCAACCTCCGGCTTTCCTTAGCGCCTCCATGCTCTGTTACTATACCATAAGGAGACAGCTGAGGACAGAGTCCTGGGCAGGATCAGATGGGCTACGTTGAACTTGACCATATTGTCTTACTTTCCCCATCTGTAAAACCTAGGCTGCAGTCCGTCTCCTCTCAACTTCCCAGGGCTGTTGTGAAACTGGGGTTGAAAGCATTTTTCGAAATCGTATGAAAGGGAATTGACCTGTTCCTGCCATGTGCCAGGAGCTGTTTTATGCACCCGTCTTGACCCTCCGTGTGTTAGTCCAGGTCGATTAGAGAAACAAATCCAGAGACATAGGAGTATACGTGTGTAACACGGAGCTTTATAGCAAAGAGCAGCTGTGTATTGAGAAAACATCTCAGCCCAGTCCAGAGCAAGCCCAGAAGTCTGATATGAGCCCATATGTTCGATACTAGTCCATAAACTCCTCTTCAGACTCACGCAGCACATGCAGTGAAGATCACAGGCTGGTGGGTGGGAAGTCTTGTGGATCCAGTGGCGGTGGAAGCATCTCCAGGGCTCTGGCTGCCATCAGCATGGCCTCATGTGGCTTGACAAGAGGAATGTGTAGCAGAAAGAGTTCCCAGAATCCTCATGATAAGGCCACGCCCACAAGGAGGGATCATCAGACTGTGACCTGATTGACAGGCTAGACTCCACCCCTTCACTCTTTGGTCAAGTTGAGATGAAACTGTAACTCACATTGCCCATGGTCACCGTCCCCCCAGGAGTGGGGCCTGGGATTCTCCCCCTTTTATGGATGTGGAAACGGAGGCTCTGAAAGGCGAAGCCGCCTGCTTGTGGTCATGTCACTCTTCCTACTCCACTGTGGGGCTCCCCCTCCCAGTCCAGATGCAAACAGAGCCTTCTCCCCGCCCCCACCTCCAGGAGGAGGTGCACCTTTTCCTGGGACCTGAACCTGCCTCTGCCCTCAGACCATTGATGGAGGAACTGACTGCAGAGGGGCCACTCAGGGTCCTTGGAATGCACATTTTCTGTCCTCAGCCTCTCCCTTCCCCTTTCTCTAGTCTGCTTTCCTCCCCCCTCTTCTCCTTGCACATCTACCCCCTTCTTCCTGGCCCTCAGGAATTCAGCCTGGAAATTTGGTTTTCATTCCTGCCCCGCCTCACTCCTTGAGGGATTTAGGGCGGGTCGAGCTACAGCGATTTCTCTCTCTTTTCCCCTCCGAGAAGAACGGGTGGTGATGAATAGTTTCTGAAGGGATAAAAATGAATGAAGGGCTGCAATGTTCCCCCCTAATTCTTTAAAGCTGTGAGCAGATGCCTGTGTTACCTGAGCAGGCAGCTGAGATGGAGCCATGAGGCTGAGGCCATCTGCCCCCAGGCCAGAGGGATGGGTAGGGAAGCGCTCCTAAGGGCCTGGGGAAGAGGAAGCCCAGGTCCCCAGTGAGGCCCGCCCAGTCACAGGCCAGCAGAGAAGCTGTGTGGGGCTGACCCGGAGCCAACGCTGTGGAAGAGAAGACCCCCCCAGTCTGAGGGCTCTCTGTCAGGCCCCAGGTTCCTTCCGTGGGGCCCCTCCTTTCTTCTGGCTCCTTCCATGACCCTTCCCCTCGTGTCTTTGCTCAGCACAGCTGAAGCAGGCCAGGACTTGCTAGAGTAATTGTTCCTTGAATTTCAGAAACCACAAGCCAAAGAAGATAGAAGGAAGAAAGGGAGGGAATAACGTTCTTAGAGAGAGCCAAGGCTGAGTCTCCGCTTGCTGGTGATCACGCCTTGTCACAAGGCAGGCTTCTTCTCCAAGTGCCTGGGAAGTGAAAAAGACAGGCGTGCATGGCTCCACTCTGCAGATGCCAAGGTTCAGGCTCACGGAAGGCCTGAGCCACGCCAGCAAGCGACTGAGCTGCCCTTTTCCCAGTCTCCGCTGCAGAGTGTGAAGCCTGCCACCCTCACGAGGCCTGAGCCTGTTTGAAGTGGCCTTCTGGCGCAGGGTCCATGCACAGGCATGGTAGTGCCCGGCGCCACACGGGTCAGTAAGCATCCGATACGTGTCATCATTGGGCCAGGAGTAGCTGTCAGATAGGGTGCAGGCTGGGCTGTGAGGGAGAGACCCTGAAGTGATGGATGGGGTCATTTGGGGAGGAGGGGACATGGTGGACCCGAGAGGTGGTCATAGAAAGGCCTGCCCCAGAAGAGAGGCTGATCCAGACTTTTGTACACCTGCAGCAGACACCCAGGCACCCAGGCTGAGTAAGGCCAGGAGAGATGGATGGTCTACGGGATGGGGGTGTGTGGCCCAGGGCCTGCCTGGGTCCCTATAAGACAGTGGTTCTCAACCTTCCTCATGCTGCAACTCCTAATACAGTTCCTCATGTTGTGGTGAACCCCCCCCCCAACCATAACATTATTTTCGTTGCTACTTCATAACTGTCATTTTGTTACTGTTATGAATCGGGCAACCCCTGTGAAAGGGTCACTCGACCCCCAAAGGGGCCGTGACCCACAGGCTGAGAACCGCTGCTGTAAGCCCGTGGTGAATTGTTTAGCTGAGCACAAGTAGGTTCTGTGGTTGTGGAGTTGGGGGCGGGGAGGGGGATTTCCCTGAGCCTGCTGGGGTGGCTAAGAGTAACGAAATCACTGGGTTTGGGGTCACCCAAGTCAATCTCCGTGCCACACACCACTGCCTCTGGGACCTGGACCAATTGCCCTGCCTCTCAGTGCCCGCCTCAGTTGTACAGTGGAGTCTTCTCCATCTACTCTCGAGGGGTGCCATGGAGGTGAAGCCCCGCCCAGGAGTCAACGCAAGCTCCCAGGGCGAGCCTGACTTGTGCTTCTGTCTTCACAGGAACTACCTCTTCAGGCTCAGCCTTGCCAACGCCTCCCTCCTGCAGGTACAGCTCCTTTCCTCCCATCTCCCTTCTCTGCAAACCCCCCAGGCTTCCCGGACAGCACGGGCCTGTGATTCGGGATGGAGCCCCTCGGATTGGGAATGGGAGACATCTCCAATCCCTGACTCACTCAGACGCTAGCTAGCGAGGATGCTGCTGGGCCGCAATGGGAGGGCACCGAGGTCCGAAGAAGCTGGTGATGGCGTAGGGTGACCAGCTGCCTCCATTTGCCTGAGGCTGAGGGTTTCCTGGGATGCAAGACTTAATGATGTAAAGCTGGGCACTGCTGGGCCACCTGGGAGGGGAGATCATCCTGAGCCTAGAGCCTGAGTCCACAGCAGGGTGTCGGAAGGGGGTGGGGCGCTCGAGGCTAAGGGTACCCTGGCTCCCTTGCTCAGCCTTCCTCAGGGTGACTCCATTGATCGTCTGCAGCCAAGAAGGGCTGCCTCCCTCCGTGTAATCCCCCAAGTGCTCTGGGAGCCGTTTTAAGGGGACTCCTTGATGCAGAACATTTATCCCAGATTTAAAAACAGATGCCAGGCCACCTCTGCAGAGGTTGAACGTTCCAGAGGAAGGAAGGGTGCCTCTTCTTCCTCTTGTTTCAAGGAGGGAAGAACCACCGTTCTCATTTCTGGAACAAGGGGGGCTTGTGGGTCTCCCAGGGACCAAGTGTTCATTGAGCACTTTGCGTGTTCAGGACTGAGCTGGGGGCTGGGGACATGCGATGCCTCTGCTCTTCAGGGCCCCCAGCCAGGGAAAGAACATGTGCTGCATAGATCCTCATGAACACCTGTGCTGGAGCAAGCAGGGGACATTCCCAGAGCCTGCTAGCTCGCTCACAAGCAGCCTCATGCCCACCTGGCACCCACAGAAAAGGAAGCCGAGATGCCAAGCCCAGCAGGCGGGGCCTGAGGGAGGTCCATGCAGCTGTGGACAGAGTGGGTGCGGTCATGCCCCGCCATCCAGGCAGGTGGCTTTTCTCTGGCTCCCATGGTCTGCAAAGATGGTCTTTGGGGCCCCTAGAGTGACAGAAGGGGTGAAGAGGGCTAGGTGTGCACAGAAATAGTGGCCGTGCTGTGGAAGCGTGCAGAGGTGGGGGTGGGGTTGTGCTGGGGTCTCAGTGGTCCAGAAGCACAGGGAACCTATTGGGCTCAGCAAGAGCTCTGCAGACTGCCTAAAGGAGCTTCCCTTGATCTTGGAGACCCGAGTGAGGTGTGAAATGGCTGTGTAGTCATGAGGGAGGCTCCTGGCGGCTGGATCACAGCATGTGAGTGGAGATGAGAAGGGGTGAGGCCCTGCAAGAGAGGCCCCATGGCAAAGACTCCTGATTGTTGAGCCAGCCGAGGAGCCCATATTTTACCTTTAAGACAACAGGGACTCACTAAAGAGTCTGAGCAGAGAAGTGGCATGAACAGATGTGGCTTTTAGATCAACCGGTGCCTGTTGGAGAATGGATCCGAGGAGGAGCCTGTCGCGGGGTAATCGTAAACATCCAGGTGAGGGACCGGGAGGAGGGAGCCGGCAGCAGCCGTGGGGTTGGAGAGACACGGTCAGAGGAAGGGACGCCTTCATTTCCTTGCTGTCAAAAATCCACACAGCGGAACTCCAGCAGCTCAACAATTTCTATACATACAGCGCAGTGGCTTGTAGTCGTACAACCATCTTCCCCTTCCTGTTTTGAATTGTCCCTGCCTTGCTGATGGGGACTCACCCCACCCATCAATGTCTTCTATCTGAGGACAATGGTTCTGAAAGTTGGCAGAGCTCCTGGCCACCCGGCACGGTGCCCTTCCATCTGAAGATGGCCTCGGACGCCGGGAGGGTGGTACCAGCTAGGTTTCTGGCTTGCATGGCTGGGTACCCTCTATCGGGGTGGAAACTAGGCTCCTTGCTCGACATGGGCTGCTCTTGGGAGTCACCAGGAGGGTTTTTAAAAAACACCGATACCGAATTTCACCTCCAGAGGCACTGACTTGGTTGGTCAGAGTAGAGCCTGGCACTGAGAGGTTTTTAAAAACTGCCAGGTGCTGTCAGCCAGCAGCCCGATGGAAGAACAGCTGCTCGGGGACATCAGGATAGCCCGCCCAAATGCTCTGGCTTCTCCAGGTCTCTTTAGGAGCTGGTCAGATGTTAGGATTCTCTGTCTTGAGGCTGGGGTCTGGTTCTCCCAGCTATCTTTTGCCCGTTGGGGACAGGAGCTCAGCTTTGAGCTGGTCTCTGAAGGACTCTCTAAACCAGCCCCAAGAGCACTTGGGTATTGGCCTTTCTACCTTCCCTGCGGTCACTCTTAGGGACCTCGAGGTACCGCACAAGTTCTGACAACACCCTCCACCATGGAAGTAAGGAGAGGAATGGTATGCCCACCTTCCCACCCTAGCAAGTACCATTTAACCATAGGGGAAAACACAAGAGAGAGAAGGTGGACCAAGCCAGCCAGCACTTCCTCCCCCAGTGCTGGTGGCACCGCAGCCCCTGGGGTGTCGGCTGGCCTGGCGTGAAAGTCCACCCTGACTTCTGTGAGTCGTTCCACCATTGCCCTACCTGGGCTTTGGGACCCTGCTTTTGCATTTGCAGTCCTCAGCCTGCAGGGAAGGGATGACTCCCTTAGCCAGGTAAGCACAGGCTCACTTGTGCCTACTTACTAATCAGTAGTGAACAGTTTCAAGTGTTTCCCACCACATCTAGTAAGTACAAGTCATTCTGTGCTTACCTGGCTTATTGGGTCATCCATCATTGTCAGCAACTGCCATCAAAAGTGGCCCACCATGCCAAGCTTGAGCGTGTGTTGCCACCAGGGGGCTCTGCACCCAGCTGGGGAAACGCTGCCCTTGGCAACACCTCCTCCCTGAGCCGTGAGTCGTCTTGGCTCCAGGGTGTGACTTAACCAAACGCTTTATCGATTATGGGAATAATGAGCATTCCTATGGAAACCTCTCGGTGCAAACCTCGCAGTGCAAACCGGTGTCTGTTAGAGGGGCCGCTAAGCACTAACCCGAATTAAAAATCGCATATGGACAAGATCTGCTATTCCTGCGACGTTTTAGCCAACTGTTTTCTTTGGCACTGTGCACCACAAAGGACGCCACTTAGAACGTTAAAGTGTGGGTTTCATTCTGGTGAATCAGTTGGATATAAAACAGGATATGGGGATGTCTACACAAATCAGAGTATTTTTATCAGGAACATATTTTCCTTATTTTCCATGATGATCACAAGACTTCAGTTCAGATTTTTTCCTTCAATTTTTTTTAAGATTTATTAACATATTTGCTGCCAAAAGTATTTTACCTGCCAAGGATATAGTTCCTCTGTGCCATTCAGATAGATCATATGAAAAAGAATACTATAATACTGAATTGCACACGCACAAACACTTACTTTTTTGCGCCAACTAACCGCTCCTCAGAGGTTCCCTGGTGGCGTGGGGGTGGGAGCTGTCGGCTGTGAAGTGGAATGGTTGGTGCTTGGGGCCCAGCCGCCGCTCCGTGGGAGCAAGAGGGAGCAGTCTGTCTCGTTGGGCAGCTCTGCTCAGCCCTCTGTCCTGCAGTGCTGCTTTGAGACGGAATGGAGCTGATGGCAATGGATTTGGTTCCCTGTGGAACTTCTCCTTAAGGATGATCGATATTTCCTGATGCTGTGTGAGGAGCTGTGTGTGTGTATTGGGGGTAGGGAGATGGAACCGGGCCACATCTGTGGTGGTTCTTCGTCAGTGTAACTTAATGAGCCCGTCCCGGGAAGGAAGAGAAGGGGCCCCCAGTGTCCGGGGCTGCTAAGGAGCCCACGTGGTGAGCTACAGAGCTCGGACTTGGATCTGGTGGTTAAGACCCCCGATTGGCCCTTGCCAGAGCACTTCCAGGGGATGACGTGGCTGGAGGCCTAGTTGCAACGGATTGATGATCCTGGGTTGCCAGATGTCCTACAGAGTGCCGCGCCGGGACTCCCGTGCACGTATGCACCAGGACACAGAATGGGCCTTTGTCTGCGCCTGGGCCGGCATGGAGGCTCATTCCTGAGTCGCTTCCAGTTGATCTCCACATCCTCCAAGCTGGGAATCTGGCAGCCCCGAGGGTTGTTTGAAATGTAAACTCCACCGAGGCTGGGACGCAGTGCTCAGAAGATGTTTTCATGTTTGGCCCTCATTCCTGGCTCACAGGTGTCCATGGGAGGTGGTGAGTCTGCAGGGAGAGTATCCAGGCTCCTACGTGTCTCGCCTGCTCTGTCCCGAAGCAGGAAAACCATGCAGTTACTGTGTCCCTAGAGATGCGTGCCCTGGAATTTCTGAGGGGGGGAGGGCCAGCCCTAGTTTAAAGCAAGCTCGGTGGCAGACAGACCACACATCTCTGTCTTCGAGCCTCAAAGCTGCACTGAAAGGACAGTATGAAAAGAATAAAGGGGGGGAGCCCCTGTGATGGAGGGAAGGAGAAAGGGGCTATCAGCAGAGGAGCGAGAGCTCCCCCTGACCACTCACAGAGGGAGGTAATGGCACAGAAGTAGGGCGCCTCCCCAGCCAGACCCCAGGAGGACGTGGAGACTGGGTGTCAGGTATTGTGGGACGTGAGGACGGTGTCCAAGGCTCCAGAGGAAGGATTGGTTGAAATTGTCCAAATCGAGAGATGGAAAGGCAGGGCTATGAGAACGCTTGCGCTGGCATTGGACATGGCATTCTTTAGTACTACTTGAAATAGCCTCCTTCCCAGTTCTCCTGAGGGAGGGAAGATGCAGCTAGAATCTGTGTGCGCGTGAGATAAGAGGGAGACCCATCCCACGTAGCAATCCCCTCCCCCACCAACAGAACCGCATCTTCCAGAAGCCCAGCTGGAGAGACTCCAGGTGTGGGGACAATGATAAAGACACTAATGGGGTGTCGGCCTAGAACTAGGGGAGCATGAGGAAGCACACGTTCGGTGAATCTCCATGGCTCCAGCAGTCAGTCTTCCTGAGTGTGGTAGTGGGGGTCCTGTGTCTCCCCATCAGTCTTTACAGGCCCCATCATGCAGTTTGCAATCAGCTCTTTGGTCCTTTCTTCTCAACCCAGCAAACCTTTATTCCACAAGGCTTCAGGCTGAAAAGAGAACAGTGCAATAAACCCGGTGTTCTCAGCAACAATCAAGCACTCGCTCACCGTCAGTCTCCCTCATCTGTGACCCCACCCCCTATCCCTGACTCATTTCAGAGCACATCTCAGATCCAGCACATCATCCATAAAGAGGTCAGGATGTGTTGCTCAAAGAGAAGGATTTGCTAAAATAAAAAGCCACTAGAAATTAATTTTATAGCATCATTACATATCCAGCCAATGTCTAGATTTCCCCACATGACTGATAAATTTTTAAAAGCAGAACATTTTTGTTTGTTTGGATCAGGATCCAAAGAGGAACTCTGTATATCGCGACTTTGTGTCTCCCTTAAGTAGCGTCTCCTCTCTTGCTCTTTGCAGTGTCTCTGATGAAAACACAGGACCATTTGTCCTACAGAGTGGCCCTGGATTTTGCTGATTGCAATCCAGGTGGTGTAATTCAACGTGCTCCTCTCTTCCCCCTGTGTTACCTGCAAATCAGTTGTCACGTGTGAAGACTTTACTAAATTTAGACTCTGGGGAGGTGACTTCATAGGTGACATGGTGTCCTTCCTTGGAGAGGTGCCGAGGGTCTGGTTTTCCTCTGTAATTGATGTTTTAGCAGTCCTTGATGATCATGACCTAAACGCATTAATCTTCTAGGTGTTACCTTACCGGGAGCCTCTAATGCTCGTTCCTTCTTCGTATGTTAACTGGACTCCTCCCATAGGAGCTTCCCTTCATCTATTTGGTTATCCTGTGGCCCAGGAGACCCCAAACCCATGGCTTTTCTGGCTCCGAGTGGCCTATAGACCAGAGTAGAACTGTTCCTTTGGGTTTCGGAGATTGTCAGTCAATCTTTATGGGAGCAGTAGCCTCATCTTTCTCTTTTGGAGGATCTGATGGGTTTGAACCGCTGACCTTGCAGTTAGTAGCCCCTCATTTAACCTGCTGTGCCACCAGAGCTCCTCAGGATACAGGAAAGACAGGTGACATGCCCGACTCTTTGTCTTCACTGAGCAGTTTTCAAGTGGCATATTACTGCTTTGGCAATATCCTTTGGTGATGATCAGTTAATTGTATTCTTATGTCACATTATTTTTAAACACACGTAAATTTGATCCTTTTGAATTGCTTTAATCCATGGCAGTTAGCATCTTTCATGACTATCCCATCTTTAGCCAGTTGGCTAAAGCCTCATTGAGTTGGCTTCCGGGTCTTGTTGGCAGAACCTCTGGTAACTTTCTGGTGTGACAAGATGTCCCAGGCTCATCTTGTACATCTCCTGCACGACCTGGAATCAGTCATGTCTATGAGAGTCCTAAGTCGTTTCAGGGGAATGATTAGGGATTTACTTCAAAATTGAAGCAAATAGCCAAAATCACCAAATATTTGCAACGCTGCCAGGCTTGCCAAGAGAAGGACCGGCACAAACAAGCCAGCACACTGGATAAAGGGAGCTTGAGGAACCCAGGCATGCAAACCGACAGAAGAAAGTGATTTCTAAAACTAGTGCGCTCATAGATAGAAGAACCGTTTTATTTGTAAAATGACCAATTAAAAGTCATGGAAAGTGAAAAACACAATTGGGGGATTTCTCATGGAATCAAAGAATTAGAAGATAAAGTTGAAGAAAAATCTCCCAGGAATTAGAATAAGAAACAAACTGAAGATAAGAAAAAGCTAGCAGACACCTTGGGGGTCAATGGAACAGTGGACTAAAAAAAAAAAAAAGTTTCACAAAGGAGAGCAGAGGAAAAATCGAGGGAGAAATTAAGGACAAAATAAGAAAGTTTGCTAAAACAGAGAAAGTCTTCAAATGGAGAGGGCTGAAGAGACCCTGCTCAGAGGCACAGTTGTGAAATGGGAAGCATTTATTGAAGAGAAGACCTTCAGAACTCTGAGTGAAAATTCACTTGATCGCAGAACTCTGTCTGAGAGCAATCCACAAAGTAGGAAGACAGGATAAACCCAACATGCAAGGTTTGTAGACTCGGTCCATCGTGCTCCTTGTCTTCGGAAGATATTGAGACTTGTCCCACTGAACGGAGCGCGTTACTCAAGGTAAGAAAGGCATGGGATGGAGACAGTGGGGGAGGGAAGAGGGTAAATCCTGGTCATAGCCAAGCAAGAGGCCTCTTCTGGTAGCTCAGCCTGGAAGCTCACCTGGCACCTGTTCGGCACTTTAGCAACACGCTGACAGACTGCCCATGAGGCTCGTGGGCTGGGAACCAAACCCAGGCTTCTGGCGTGGGAGGCAGGGATTCTGCCACTGAAACACCAGAGCCTGGGCGAAGTTAACAATAGTTTCACAAAGCAAGCAACTGAAAGAAAGAAAGGGCAAGACAATTAGTCAGTCCAGGAATAGCAAAAAAAAATAGGTCAGGAAAGAAAACCTCATCAGAATATACGTATTTCATTGATTCCAAGAGGTTCCTGCGTTCACATTTGAATGACTGTGAAATCAGGGCGGGTCTCCGTCAAAGGCATCTTCCGGTCACCGTGGTGGGATGGTGGTGTAGCTGTCATTGCTTGTGCATGCATGAGCCTGGTCATCGTTCCTGGCATTGATTCAAGGACCTCAACCCCTTGCCCTTTCAGGCCACAAACCATTTGAGGATCCTGAGGGAAGAAGGAGGGCAGATTATGTGTCCCGACTTGTCTAGAAACTTTCTGTGGACACTTTTCTGAAAGAGCTCTCTCCAAACTCTTACAAGTATATACATTGTCATTCATAGACATAAATATTTTACCATTGGGAGTATGTAAAGAAGGTTTTGCTACCAGCAGTGCACCGCATGCGAGGTACCAGGGATGAGGTAACAGGAGCCAACAGGAAAGAAAAAGGACCTGGTGGTGCCATGGTCAAGTGCACTGCTAACTGGAAGGTTGGCGCGGTGGAAACTCACCAGGGGTCCCACAGGAGACACGGCCTGGCAATCTGCTCTGGGCAGATTTAAACCCAAACTGCCGTGAGTCGGTTCCAGGAGGATAGGGATGGAGAGTAAGTGAGAAAAACCTTCACCTCCAAAACAAGAAGTTGGAGGGGGATGTACATTTATTAATTGATGTACATTTTTGAGAAATCGGGGAAAAACAGACCAGAGAAACAGCCAAAAGAGTTGAACGTGATTATCTTGGGAAATGGCACTGAGGCCTGGGCTCCTTTTTAAAACTCATACTATTTAAATTTAAATATAAGCAATGTACATATTACTTTGATAAAAATAACTTTGGAAATCAATTCCAAAATAAATCAAAGGACTCAACAAAGCCTGTCCTGTGGTATTACCGTCCACACTTCCCCTTGTCTCTTCAGGCCATGTGTCTTCTCTGTATGCGTGGAGAAAGGGCAGCTTGCAGCAGGCTGCAGATGGCGCCAGGCTCCAGAGTCAGTTATCTCTCTGCACCCTGGGTCTGTTCCGGAAGTTGCTAGCTGTGTGCTCGTGGGCAAATTGCGCCGCCTCTCTGGGCCTCCGTTTCCTCATCTGTCACATGAACAATAGGCGCCACGTCTGGCTGTTGTGCGGACCAAGGAGAAGCATCTTGTCCAGCTCCTGGCACACGCCCGGCCCATGGTCCAGCTGAGTGTAGTTGAACCTAACGTCGTTTTCCTGTACACGCCTCCTCTGCTTGCCCAGTGTCCCCACAGCTGGCCATTGTCCGGAGCCTTAAGCCAGTGGCGTCTGCGGGGTCCGCCCTTTTCTGCTCCAGAAGTGTCTTGTTTATGGCCCCTCGCCTCTCACATCCGGCTCATTCTGGGCGTAGATGGATGGAGTCCTGAGTAGGATGACGGCACACTTGATGGTTCTGTCCAGCTGAATCTCAGGACAACGGTTAGAAGCCAGGGGTCATTTGCCTTTCTCCTGAGGCAGGCCTGGCAGTGGACTAGGCCCAACCTGCTCACGTGTTGATGGGGACTCCAGGGTGCCGCACAAGTCAGCCTGCCCTTGTCCCACATGTGAGTCACCTGGGTGCCAGGGTCCCAGGAGCTGACGGCAGCCCCTTCCTCCCCTCCATATGCCCGCCCTTCCAGCTCCACAGCAGTGAGCGGCTCAACAGCTAGAAGGAGTTGTGTTAGAAATTAAATGCAGGTGCGTGGGGTTTTTTTTTGTTTTGTGTTATTTTTTGCTTTGAGACAGGAGAGCTGCTGGCTCAGGGCTCCCTCTCTCAGGATAGGTAGATAGTTCATGTTTATACATGGGACCCAGAAATCTGTAATGAGCCACACTCTAGGGCTGTTGGCCTTGCCTGGACTGGAAGGGTATCTTTCCTCCCTGGAGCTGCTGTTCCAGGGCAGGCATGGGGGTAGGGGGCACAGTAGAGGCAGAAGAGATGAACAGAACAGAGAAGGGGTTCTGGGGACCAGCCCTTCATGAATGCCTAGACATCTGAGAATGTAGGACCGCCCTCAGAGTCCCTAGTAAAGCTGTACCCCACACCGCATGAAGGACCCGAAAGGACAAGCACAGCGGGCAACACAGGACCTGGGCTGGCGAGGGGCTGGTTTAGGGAGGGGAAGTCCCGGGCATGAAGATGGGCATGAAGGAAGCACACACAGAGCCAGAGGGATGTGCCGCCCCGGCTGGCCTGGGAAGGGAGGGCTGGGGGGTCCTTGGGCTGAGTTGTAAGGAGGGGGAGGTGATGGAGAGGAGGAAGCTTCCCATGGCTGGGAGACTGCCCCGCCCCGCCCTGCCCCCGCCAGGTGGGGAAGGTGTCAGGGTGAGGGAATGTCCACTCATTGAAGGAGTCAGGGCAAGGACCCGTGACAGCCGCCGCAGGCAGACGCAGGCCTGGGGAGAGGGCCGGCCCGGGTGTGTGGCGCGGACGTGTGACGCCCCGTGCTCCTTCTGCAGGCCACAGAGTGGGCTTCCAACGAGGACACGCGCCGCTCCTGCCAAAGCAAAGGGAAGACCGAGGTACAGGGGTGGAGGGGTGAGGGTGGTGGGATCCTGGGGGGTGGGGGCTCTGTGGTGCAGCGATGTCAGGAGAAGCCATCGAGGGCCTCCCCGGACAGCCGTGTCCCCTTCCCTCCCCCAGGAGGAGTGTCAGAACTACATGCGCGTCCTGACCGTCGCTGGCCGGAAGGTGTTCATGTGTGGGACCAATGCCTTTTCCCCGGTGTGCACCAGCAGACAGGTGCGCTGGCTGCGGGGCCATGGGCACCAAGGGGTGATCTCCCCAGCCCGCAGGCTCTTGGGGTTGGGTTTCCAGACTACACACACACACACACACACACAACTAAACTAAATAAAATGGATTTATGTTACGCATAAAGAACAAATAGCATTTTAGCATAACTATATCCCATGAAATAACTGGGATATACTAATAATTAAATTATATGTATATATCCATGTCCATTGGCCATTCAAATTTAAGAGGGCCTCCTTTATTTATTGGGCATACCTACCTGGGAGGGTGCTAAGTGAGAGGGGGCGGTTTGTGCAGAGGCAGGTGGAGCAGGACCTTCGCCCTCCCTGCAAGCTGCTCTGTCAGAGGGGCTGCAGGGTGGTCAGCTGGGAAGGAAGCAGGAGGAGGGAAGAGGCCCAGGGACCTTGGGAGGGCATGGGATGGGGATAGAGGCAGCCTTAGGGGAAAGCGCCCCCTTTCTCCCTCACCCCAGGTGGGGAACCTCAGCCGGATCATCGAGAAGATCAATGGCGTGGCCCGCTGCCCTTACGACCCCCGCCACAACTCCACAGCTGTCATCTCGTCCCAGGGGGAGCTGTACGCGGCCACAGTCATCGACTTCTCAGGGCGGGACCCTGCCATCTACCGCAGCCTGGGCAGTGGGCCGCCGCTGCGCACTGCCCAGTATAACTCCAAGTGGCTCAATGGTAAGGGGCTCACCCTGCTGCCCTGCCCCGACTCCCTCGTGCCTCCTCCCACCTGACCTCTGAAGGGCTCCTACTTGCACGATCACAGGAGCAGCCCATAGTAGGGCTGCTGCTTGTTCCATGACCATACGGGTCCAAGACGGACACAGATGTGCTGGCTGCCAGCTCTCGAATCCAGAGAATCTAAAATGGATCGAGGCCAAGATGTGAGGAGATAGAAAGAGTTAGGAATTGATGAAGGTAAAAGTTTGTTTGAGTGGGGGGCCGGGTGGAGGATTATGGGAAGGGCATAGTGATAGTGTTCCAACCCTGCTTCTGCACTCACTGTGTGATCTTGGGCACATTACTGCACCTCTCTGTGCATTGCAGGGTTACCTTCAGGGCCTATAAATGAGAACCACCTGGATTAAGCCACATAGAGTATTGATAGCAATGCCTGTTCAGTCCTAAGTGCCCACTGTTATTGTATCTGGACTTGGTGTGGACACAGAAGTGGGGTCAGTTAGAGCCAGGCAGGTGGTGGAGCCAGAAGGTGGGTGTGTTGGGTGCCACTGAGCAGTGTACTCCCACCCCCGCCATCCTGACCCCTGGCTTGTACATTTCTTTCCCCCAGAGCCAAACTTTGTGGCAGCCTACGACATCGGGTTGTTTGCGTACTTCTTCCTGCGGGAGAATGCGGTGGAGCACGACTGTGGGCGGACTGTGTACTCTCGCGTGGCCCGCGTGTGTAAGAACGACGTGGGTGGCCGCTTCCTCTTGGAGGACACGTGGACCACGTTCATGAAGGCGCGGCTCAACTGCTCGCGGCCGGGCGAGGTCCCTTTCTACTACAACGAGCTGCAGAGTGCCTTCCACCTGCCCGAGCAGGACCTCATCTACGGGGTCTTCACCACCAATGTGTGAGTCCCTGGCCCTCAGCCACCCTCTCCCCTCTGTGCCCCAGGGGGCTCACACGCACCTGACCTTGAACCTGGTGGGGTTGGGCGGGTAGCTCTCTGAGCCTTGGTGGCTTCTCTGTTAGTTGGAGGTGGCCGAGCCTTCTGGCCAGGGTTGCCCGGGGAGTTCATGGTGTCAGCGTTGGGTTGCTCTGGGTTGCTGCCCAGGGTGGGCGTGGGCCAGGTGGGACAGAATGGAAAGGATCCTGACTCCGTGAAGGAATAACCTGCCGAGTGGAACAGCCCATCGTTGGTTGAGGGGTTGGCAGCTCTGGGGGGCTGGGTAGGGGGGTGGGGGGTTATCCATCTGGGTTCCTTAGAGAGATTGGCCCCCAAGGTCCCTCCCAACCGCAGGGTTCCATGATTCAAGCAGTCTAGCCAGCGGGGTCTTTGGCAATCCCACTATCTCCTACGTTCTTTGGAGGGATCCCGATGGGTGGCACTGGTTAAAAGTTGAGAGTGACACCCCATGGATGCTTCTAAAGGGTCCCTCGATGGGGCAAACCACTGGGCCAGTCACACCCATCAGTGGCACCACAGAGCAAAGGCCTGGCAATCCGCTCCCATAAAGATGGCAGCTAAGAAAACCTTACTAAGTGCTCTGGCTTCCTTTGCTGCAATCACGAGACCCTCCTCCCACTGCCTGCTTCTGTGCCGAGGCTAACACAGGCAGGTGTCAGGGTAGCGAGGGACAGGTGGCCGTGCAGGACGAGGACAGTGTGTGTGGGTCCGTGCGGGCTTCTTTGTAAGCACGTCAGAACATACCGTCGTATTTGCTTACCTTGGGCGAGGGCCAAGCTAACGACAAGAAAGACGGTCTGGTGCGCAGGGAGGAGAGCAAGGCTGGGAATCTGCAGTAGAAAGACATTCAAGCCAGAAGGACAGACACAAAGCACACAGCGAGGAGCCACAGGCTGGGTTTGGCAGGATAATGTCCACCCAGAGGTCACACAGCGAGGAGCCACAGGCTGGGCTTGGCAGGATAATGTCCACCCAGAGGTCAGAACCAGGAGGGCGGCAGCCATGAGCAAAGGACAGAAGCAGCTGGAGAGCAGGGACGCTAGGGAAAATGTCAACACTGGTGCAGCTGTGAGTAGTTTATTAGCAAGTCTTTATCGAGTGCCTTCTCCATACCAAGGAGCCCTAGTGGCTTAGCGGTTATGCCATGGGCTGTTACGCACAAGGTCAGCAGTTCGAAGCCACTAGCCATGGAATGACAAGACTTTCTACTCCCGTAAAGAATTACAGCCTCAGAAACCCACACGCAGTTCTGCCCTGTCTTATAGGGTCTCTATGAGAAGCAATCGGCTCAATGGCAGTGAGTTGAGTTTCTCCATGCCAGGTGGGGGGTGGCCCCAGAGGGGAAGGGAGATACCACACCAATGAACAATAGCAGACAAGGCAAACCCTGCCTTCAAGAGCATGCCTTCTAGCGAGGGTAACAGATCAAATTGTGATAAATGCTACAAAGGGGAAGGGCAGCATGCAGGGAAGTCCATGAGAGGATGGAGGAGTGGCGATCAGGGAAGGCTTCCTGTAGGAAGTGGTATGTTCAAAATAAATAGGTATGAACTAGGGGGAGACGACAACATGTGCAACGAACGCTTGTGGTGGAAAGAAACACCTGAATTACTGCACCAAGGCCAGCATACTGAGGGGGAAGGCAGGTGTGGAGACGTCTGTCCTGGCGGGCCTTGCAGGACATGCGCCGAGTGTTTGGTTTTTATCCTAAGAGCAAGGGGAGGCCAGTGGCCAGCTCAGGTGTGCACTCTGAAGTATGGCTCTGACCTCGGGGTGGAGGAGGCAGGACCGGCTGCAGGAAGCCCAGGCCATAGGGCGGTGCAGCACCTGAGCCCAGGCGATGGGGCTGAGAGCAGGTAGAGGTGAATAGAGGTGAACACATCGGGAGAGGATGCAGTGAGCTTTCTGTGCAGTGGCCTTGTCTCTATATGGTTCACACAGGACCCCCCTCCCCCCCCCAGATATGTGAATCTGCGACCAAGAAAGGTCTTAGAAGGCACTGGAGAAGGCTCCCGTGTTGTGGGCTACAGCATAAACCAATGGTTTGGCAACCGGCATTAAAATATAAAGAACAAAAGAAGTGAAGTAGATAAATAAAAAGAATGAAATAAAAAGATCAGAGTGCTTTCTAAGTGTAAATAATGCTCCATGAAACCCGCTTTAGACACACATCCGTACTTGCAATCCTGGGGTGTGTGATAAGGATACATTTATTACTGTGACTCCCAGTAGTTTGGAAACCACTGGTGTGATTTCCCCTCCCACTTGCTAAGGGAAGGGGTGAGGAAGTGGCTGCAAAGGGTCCACCAGGGCTTCTCATCAGTGGGTCTTTCCCCGGGGGTTCCCGGCGTGTGAGGACATGCCTCTGCCTCCTGCAACAGCCCCAGGGTACAGAAAGCAGCAGGTTCATCAGATGTGCTTAATGCCCCTCGGAGTCCGAGTCGGGCCAGGCTGTGAGGGGACAGCTGGCTGTGAGGTTTAAGAGAAAAGTGGCAAGCCCTCTGGCAATCCACTATGGAAACAGCAACCACTGGAAACCCCTGGTGGCATAGTGGGTTATGCATTGGCCTGCTAACCACAAAATTAGCAGCTTGAAACCACCAGCTGCTCCACGGGAGTAAGATGAGGCTTCCAACTCCCTTGAAGAGTTCTAGTCTCAGAAACCCCCGGGACAGTTCTACCCTGCCCTACAGGGTCGCTAGGAGTCAGAATCAACTCACCAGCAGGAAGTTGTCTTTTTTCTGAAATGTGAAAACCCCACAGAGCACAGTTCTACTCTGACACACACAGGTCGCATGCTTCGACTCCCCTCAGCAGCTACTACAGGTACTGCAGATGCCTAGAGGGAGAGCGGCATCGCACTGTCTCTTGCCTTTCAGAAACAGCATCGCCGCCTCTGCTGTCTGCGCCTTCAACCTCAGTGCCATCTCCCAGGCTTTCAATGGCCCTTTCCGATACCAGGAGAACCCACGGGCTGCCTGGCTCCCCATTGCCAACCCCATCCCCAACTTCCAGGTACAGCCCCGTTTCCCCCTCTTGTATACCCGCTCTCCCCACCACCGGCCACAAGCTGAGGCCCAACTTTTGCTCAGAGCAGACAGACACCAACCTAGTCCCTGCTGCTCTGTGCCCATCTTGGGGATTTGGGATGAAAGGTGGTAACCTCAGAGACCAGGGGATGAGAGAGGAGAGCAGCTTGGGGACTGTGGAGCATGTGCAGGGCTACCTCTAACCGTGGCCCTGCACCTCCAGAGAGGCAGGGAGGGGACCTCAGCTCTGCTCAAGGCAGGGAACTTAGAGATCACTCATAGAGCTCTGGCCGGAATGCGGGGATTTCAGCTGGAGTGTCTCCCAGTCTATCAAAAATGGGTACCAATGCCGGGAGGCTTTCTGAGGGTCAGAAGGGACAGGGCCTAGGATGGTCAGTGCGAGCATCCTCAGTCCTGGTTGCAGAAGTGGGGCCTTCTGAGGGGCGATGGGTGATGGGTGTTCTACCCTATTTCCAGCCCAGGGGGCCAGGTGGAACAGAGAAAGATCTCAGGTGTCCCAGTTTGACAACCCTGAACCAGATCTGGCCCTGTCTCTTTGTGACCTTCAACTTCTGAGTCCCTTTCTCCTCTGGAGGAGAGGGATAATACCGTCCACCGCAGAAATGGTGCACAGGGGGTTAGCATGTACTTAATGTTGATGGTGCTTGTGGCCAACTAACCCAATTCAATTCACAGCTAAGTGCTGTGGATGCTCGGTAAACGGGAGTTCCTTCCAGCTTTGCTTTCGAAAGCAGAGAAGGTCTGTGCTCCTCGGGCCACAGGAGACAGCAGGAAGGGCTTGGCTCAACCCGGGACGGGCACCCAAGGCAACAGTTTTATTGACATAGATGGTAGTTCACATGTGCAGTCGAATAGTTTAAACATATTAAAGTATCCCTACAGTCAAGTTTAGAACATTTTATTTGTACTCATTACAATTAGTTCCCCATTTCCCTCTGCTATCCCCTGCCATAACCCCAAGAAACTATTCATCTGGTTACTGTCTGTATCGATGTACCTATCCTGGATTTCAAATGGAGGAACACATACAAAGACAAAAAGCAAAAATAAACCAAAAACCCAGTAACAGCGACAACAACAAAGAGTTGAAAAATCTCCTCTGAAAAGATAACAGGAAATAATTACTAGAACAAATTTCAAATGGGTTTAAAGGGAGAGCAAGTGATACGGTGTTCAATTTTAACCCGATGACATCTGTATTAGTCATTTTTCAATGCCCTCTGTCTAGATAGATGGCAGGTGATTCACATCGTGGTCAGTGGCCAGAGGGAATTCACTGGAGCCTCAATCCACGTGGGGAGCCTGCAGACGGTTTTCACTGTCATCCATAGCCTTCTGCAAACTGAGTGCTCAGAGTTTAAGCTCTTACTCCATTCCCTCCCCTGGCCTTGGATTTTATTACTTACAATCCTTGGGTCACACCGGCTGGGGTGCTTCTTCCGTGTGGCTTCAGCTTTTAGCTCCCTTGGCAGCTTGTTTGAAGACAAGCCTTTAAGACCTCAGATGGTATTCTTTCCGGTAACTGGGCACCATTTGATTTCTTCATACTTCACTGTAGCACCCACATCGTTAGTGATCTCTTCGTGAGCGCAGGTATCAAGTAGGACTGTATTTAAGAACTAATTGTTCTTAGATTAGGGCTACAGTTAAGAGCTAGCTCAAAACCCATTCATGTTTTCTATAGTTTACATATGCTGCTGGCCCACTTTGGAGACATCATTATTTGTTTATTGGGGGACATTCTCAATAAATAATTCATTTTTAGATAGCCCAGCCTTCTTTGTCCCGAAGAGGCATTCCTCCACGGAAAGGGATCCAACAGGAACTTATTTTCTGGGCGGGAAGGACAGGTGAGGGGCAGAGAATCAAAGTCCCTGACCTCGCGATCCGGAAGGGGGTGTTGGTGCTGCGTCCTCCCCGGTGGCAGCAGCACGCTCCACACCTCCTGCTCTTGGTGGCAGTGCGGCACCCTGCCCGAGGTGGGCCCCAACGAGAACCTGACGGAGCGCAGCCTGCAGGATGCGCAGCGCCTGTTCCTCATGAGCGAGGCCGTGCAGCCGGTGACCCCGGAGCCCTGTGTCACGCAGGACAGCGTGCGCTTCTCCCACCTCGTGGTGGACCTAGTGCAGGCCAAAGACACACTCTACCACGTGCTCTACATCGGCACCGGTGAGTCTGCCCAGGTCACCCTGGGTCTCAGCAGGGGGTGGGGGTGGGGGGTGTGAAGGAGCTCCGGGCTGGGCTCTGGGCTCATGGGACCTTCAGGCCACCCACGTCTGGCCCCTGGCCCCTGCAGAGTCGGGCACCATCCTGAAGGCACTGTCCAAGGCGAGCCGGGGCCTCCGCGGCTGCTACCTGGAGGAGCTGCACGTGCTGCCGCCTGGGCGCCGCGAGCCGCTGCGCAGCCTGCGGATCCTGCACAGCGCCCGCGCGCTCTTCGTGGGGCTCAGCGACGGCGTGCTGAGGGTCCCACTGGAGAGGTGTGCCGCCTACCGAAGCCAGGGGTAAGCAGGAGGGCACATGGGCAGGCGGAGCTCCCTGACACCCCTCAATCACACTGTGGAGGTGGGAGGTGGTGCCCAAGGGTCAGGTCCTCCTGGCTGCACCCTGGCACTGTCTCCAGTGTGTGGCTGTGGGCAAGCCACTTAACCTCCCTGAACCTGGGTTTTCCCCACATAAGCTATCTTGCAGGGCTTTTGTGTGGGTTAATTGGGGTAATCCACGTAAAGCTCTTACTGCCTAGGGGAAGTGGTTTTTCACGTCACCCCCATGGTTAGGGCCTGTCCGCCCTCTCCAGCCCACTTGATTGATTCGAGGTCCTGTCGGTTCCAAGAGCAGCCTTTCTCTTTGAAACCGAACCATGCATTACGGTGCGTGGGGACAGGTGGGGCCGATGCTTCTAGTAAGCCAGAAGGCTTTTGCTCCACATCCTCCTTACCTTAGAAGAGGCTGGCCTAGCCCGTTGAGGGCGGGGCCAGAGGGTAGGGACCACTCGGAGAAGTTCCGTTCACTAACCAGTTGTTTGAAACTAGCTTTTTGAAAATGTAGCTTTGGGGTGTTCACAATTTGGCATCACTGACACAGAGATTTCTAGGGGGCAGGGGTGGACACAAAAACCCATCCCAAAGCCAAATGGAAATGTGAGGCCCGCCCCCACAGCACCCCCTCTTTTGTATGGTAATCAGAAGCTGGCCTTGGCTGGCAGAGCCACAGCCATGTGGGCCCTGGCCTTTGGAACACAGAGTCCTCCTGACTGTGCCCATCTGTTCTTGAGGTTTGGGAGACAAAGGCTATCACTGCTGCCAAGGGTTGTCCTCCAGCCTGGGCAGGGTGTGCGGGGAGCTGGGCAGGAGTCTGGAGGGCCGGGAGAGTGCTGGGCGGTGATGGTGCAGCCGCCGTGCAGGAGGAGGGCACTGGCAGACACCCAAGCTCCCCTTGGCCCCAACACCTGGCTCGCCAGCCAAGCACTGAGCATTTCCTAAGTCCAGCGGTGTGTTGAGAACACGTCGCAGGGTTGCTGGCATAAGAGGAGGGAAGATGAATTAGGTTTAAAGACGCGGCCACTTCCTTCCCAGCTGTCAGCGTCTGTTAGGGAGAGGGACCTTTCCTTAGCCTGTTTCTGACATTCAGGAAGAGATAGTGAGGGGGCAGGGGAGATCCCCAGGTGGTGGAATCAGACACACCTGGGTTTCCATGTCTGTTCCAACATCTCTAACTTATGTCTCGAGCAGGATGCCTAACCAGTCGAACTTCAGCTTTCTCATCAGGAAAGTGGGCACATAGTGACTGGAGCAAGTGATATTAACTTAGGCAAAGTCCTTGTGGGGCCCCGAGATTGCCAGGGAGTGCCTGGCTCAGGAGATCCTAGGTGCTAGCTAGGATCGCATGCAGAATTCTTGGCTGGTACAAACAGTTGCCCCAAGATTGGAAGTCTGAGATCACCTAGCAGCACCTCAGAAGAAGGGAAAAACAAGAAACCTTCGTGTTATTGAGTCAATGCTGACCGGAGACCCTGTGTGAGTTTCTGAGATTGTAACTCTTTACGGGAGTAGAGAGCCCCATTTTTCTCCCACAGAGCTGCTGGTGGTTTTGAACTGCTGACCTTGTAGCTAGCGGCTCAACTTATAACCACTATGCTACCAGGGCTCCAAAAGGCCTGGTCATCTAGTCCCCCCAAATCAGCCATCCAAAGCTCAGAGGAGCACAGTTCTATCCTGATGCACACAGGATGGCCAAGGTAGGTGGCGACTCGCTGGCATCCTGTGTTAGTATCTTACTCTGTTTTCAGCTCCACAAATACTATTAGGGGCCTCCTGACCCAGACCCCAGTCTCAGAATCTGTGATGCTGATTGTAGATCGACACCCTGCTCAACAGTGAATCACAGGCCACCTGCTGACAGCATTGACCCATTATCTTGTGTTCTTTTCAACTTTTATTTTATTGTTTTCTTTTTTCGAGAGCCCCTGGACCATTCCTGAAAGTACTGCAATACCAGGTTGATGCGTGGAGTGGGTGGAGCAAGCTCCTAGTCCAACTCCTACTTGCAAAAATACATTTAATATATTGTCCTCAGATAGGGAACTTAACAGATATTCACTGTTGCTAAATTTGCCATGTGGGCCTTGTCTTGCAAGAGATGGTAAATCCTTGAAGGCAAGCAGTCTCCCAGTCCTTTCAGCCCCGGGCACAAAGTGGCCTTCCGCCAGGGCAGGAGCTTGCCCTTGACGGGTCATTTGGCCCGGGAGGAGTGCAAGGAAGGAGTGGTGAGGGGACCAGGCAGTGGGTGGAGGGCGGCTGAGAATTCCAGGGTGGGATTTTGACTCCATCCTGAGGTGGGCGGGTGTTGAAGGGCCTGGAGGCAGCAAAGGGAGCAGGAGGCCAGGTGCAAGCGGTGTATGATAGAGGTCAGATAGCAGGGAGCCTCCTGTCTTCTACTGGGGTGAGCTGGTGAGACTCCTGGGAAGTACCGGAGTCTTCAGGAGGAAGAGATGCCTGGGACCCTCCTCCAGTCCCACGGTTCTGCAGGGAGGGGACAGCGAGGTTCCACAGCACTGCTGTTGTCTCTGCACCCTGGCGCTGGGCGGAGCAGCAAAGTCGAATCAGGGCATTTGAGCCTTATACTTGAGTCCCACTTGTTTTCTACAGGTGGGATCCCCAAATGATCACCTGTCAAGTCACGTTATTACAAGGGGAGTAAAAATGCCGAGAGCAAACCAGCCGTGTCTCCACGGCCGAGCTGAGCGCTCTGGGAGGCTGGGTACCAACAGCTGGCCACTTGCACCCGAGTCCGTTTTCCGTTGTGTGGTGTCGGGGTCAGCTGCGTCCTAAGACAGGCATTCAGGCTTTTTACTGCCTCCTTCCAAAGCTGGGATGGATGAGGGTGGTCCTCTCCTCTGCCCAGGACCCAAGAGCATGTCTTCACCCCCTCCTTCTACTCAGGTGAATCTCAGCCCACAAGCATGACCAGGATATTTGATGTCGAAGCCATCCCTTCTCTCTTCCAGTATCCCTTCCTGCTGCCTGCGGGGGACCCTCTGCCCCAGCTCCCTCACAGACACTCCCCCACTCCCCGCCCCCGACTGCCCCCTCTCCTTCCGAACCTTGGAAGGTGGCTCTGGCAATGTCCTCCCACCTGATGGGCAGTAATGGGCCTGAGGGCCCAAGCCCATAAAGCCCCTTCCTCGCTGGACAGCTCCCATTGTGAGGCTAATGGTATATGCGCTGGAATCATCTGCCTTATGACTTCCACCATCCATCTCTGTCCTGCCTCCAAGCCCAGGGAATGAGCCTGTTCCCTTTGGTAATGTCTGCTCGAGACACCGCAGTTAGAGCAGCCGTGTGATATATCGTTGGGCTGAAGGCTCCTTTTATGAGAAGACCTTTAAAAGTCAAGACACTCTAGCGCTCCTCTGCTTGGTTCCTTTTCTTAAGACCCGTTTGTTCGCTGCCCTGGACGCTTGCAAGTGGCCCTTGGCAAAAAGTAGCAAATGCAGATCCTCCTGGCAGGGGAGGTCTGAGTACCCCCTTTAAATGTGCACCAGAAGAGGGCATAGGTACGGTGTTGGAGACTCTCCCTGGCCCCTGAGACTGTAGGGGTGTGTGCCCAGGGCCGGCCTGCCCTTTCAGAAGCTGGCTTCTGTTTCTTTTCCGGGTCTCTGGCTGAGAGGAGGAACGTTTGAGCAGGCCAGGAGCCTGGGGCCGGCTGGGACGGCACCTCCTCTGTGTTTTCCTTCCTTCCCGCAGTTTCTAGTCTGTCAGGAATTTGAAAGACACCACATGCCCTTTCTGGGCTTGGGAGCCCTGACCAAAGTGAGCCTGCCACCGTGGACTGGTTCATTAGAATCATTAGATCCCCATGCCTGGGCCTGCTACAATCCCACGGGCTCAGATGTAGGCAGATCTGTTCATTAGGGCATTTCGGAAAGCTCCCTAGGACATGCTAATGTGGTCCCGACTGGGAACAACTGCCCCAGGACGACCCAGGCCCCAGATGAAAGGGAGGGCAGGAGGCTCGCTGCCCTGCCCCAGCATGCTCTGCGGTGTCTCCTGCAAACTGGCTCAAGTGGTCGGCTCTTGCCCATTCTCTCTGCCGGCAGGCGTTTTGGATGGATAGCATCTCATTTGTTGTTATTATTGATCACTTAGCCTGCCCCCCCCCCCTCCCAATTACTTCAAGTTGTTTCAAAAGTAGCTATTGAGACCCTCTCAGGAAGCTGAGAGAAAGAGACTGCATGGGGCTCTTCTGCGTCCGGTTGATTGTGCCAGCTGTTGACTGGGTCCAAACGCCGGCCGGGGCAGAGGGTCAAGGAAGTCCCCATATTGCCTTGCACACATGTGGCCCTCAGTCCCCTGGTGTCCTGGGCAATGGATTCTACCAGGGAAACGCCCCCAAATCCAGCCGTTGTTCCCAGATGAAAATATGAGCACACCGACATCGTGTGGTCGACACAAATTGCCTTTGACTGAGTAAAGTGGAAACAGATGCCTGGGCAGCAGGCCAGTGTCCAGCATTCCTGGGGTGGACAGGACGTGCTTACTGGGGTCCACGGAGGCCCTCAGCAACAGAGGCCTCGAGCATTCATTGCCTTCCAAAGCACGAGTCCGACCCCAAGCAGGGGTCAGCAGTCTTTACTGCCCTCCTCTGGGGCCATGGGGAGCCCCCTTTCCTCTGGGAGTTCCCTCACCACCCTCTTTTCTCTCTGAGACTTGACATGCCCTCTCAAACACACTGTCCCACATGACAGGTGAGAGGCTCTCCTGGAAGCTGCAAGGGGAAACGAAAGCAGAAACGGTATCTGGGGAAACCTCACGCTATAATCCCTGGCTCGCTCTGTGGCTTCTGTGTCCATTTGACCCTGAGCATGATTAAAGGTCCTCTCCGGCCAATGCAAAGTCCCTGTGCAAACTCCCACAGTGTTGAGGGGTTCTCTCTGCACCCATCCCTCCCTGGTCCTTGGTGTCCAGAGCCTCCCAGGTCCACTCCTGTCCCTTGGGATTCCCTTTCGACCCTCTCAGCGGCCCGCTGCCGCAGGGAAGCAAACCCTGATCAGAAGGGGCCAAAATTAGTGGGGAGGGGGCTGAAGAGACTCCGGCGTTCCAGGGGGCCCTGTTGCAGTGGGCTCTTAATGCGTTGGGGAACCCTCAGTGATGTGGCACACTCCGGGGCCCAGTACTCTCTTTGTTTAGTAATGCAGAGCAAGTCCTGGTTCCAGAATCTTCTCCAGATTCCTTTCCTCCCCCTTGATGGCCAGCCAATAGGGATGTAGATTTTCATGTTTTAAAAACCCACCATACTGCTCAGGAGGAAGGTAAAAGAGGCATCTGAGAGGGGAAGACGGTGAGGCAGCACATCCTCTCTGGACCACCGATGAGAGAGCCGCTTCCAGGGCTGGTGAGGGGGACCTGGGACAGCCTGGGCTCATTGATAACAATGATACCAGTTCACGTGGGCTCTGGTTCCTGGCACTGAGCAGCACAGGTGTGTGGGCGCCCCTGTGTGTGAGGGCTGCACCCACACTCACTCCATCTGTGACATCCACAGGGCCTCTGGCAGGGAGGCAGTCCTGTGAGGGAAAGCCCTGCCTGGGGGTCTGGAGACATTCTTCCTTCTGTCTCTGTAGTGGCTTCCTCCGGAGATTCTCAGCCCGGCCCCCATGATCCTTCTCCCCGCAGAGCTTCTCTGCTGCGCTGGGCCCAGGTACCAGTACTTGAAAGCTGCTCTTCAGATTCTACGGAGCCGTGAGAGTTGAGAGCTGCTGCCAGCTGACCTTGAAGCTGGTTCACGTCTCTGATCATGGGGTCTGAGGGGAGGCACTGCGCCTTGGGGTTCCTGTCGATCACATCTGCTCCTCTGGCCTTGCGGAGGGGCGTGGGGCAGTCAGACTTGGGAAGGCAGTGCGTGCAGTCTCTTGGTGGAGTCTGTGGTCATGGAGGGTGACGAGTTGGCCCTCTGGCCAGCTCCCTGCAATTCCTTATCCACTACGTGGGGGCAGATAAAAACAGTCTCTCCCTCATTGGGTCATTGCACGAAAGTAATTCCTTAATGCCTGACAGAGTGAGTAAATGCTCAATTTGGCTTTGTCTTCTTCTTGGCACATGGATGGAAAGGGATGCCGCAAAAAGCATGTCCAGGTGTGCTGTTGGGACGCAGGTGAGGCTGGGAGACCCGTGGGCTTGCGTCTCAGGATCTCTGTCTGGCAGGGCATGCCTGGGGGCCCGGGACCCGTACTGCGGCTGGGACGGGAAGCAGCGAAGCTGCAGCACGCTGGAGGACAGCTCCAACATGAGCCTTTGGATTCAGAACATCACAGCGTGTCCTGTGAGAGCCCCCGCCTCTCCCCACAATTCCGCTACGACTCCCACTAGCCACCCCAGAGTCCCCTGGGACCCTGTGGATGACAGCTATCTCCTGCCGCCCATGGGTGTCTGTAGGTGCGGGACCTGACTCAGGATGGGGGTTTTGGCCCCTGGTCGCCGTGGCAACCATGTGAACACTTAGATGGAGACAACTCAGGCTCTTGCCTGTGTCAGGCCCGAACCTGCAACTCTCCCCGGCCCCGCTGTGGGGGCCGTGACTGCCTGGGGCCGGCCATCCATGTTGCCAACTGCTCTAGGTATGTACGGAGATAGGGCTTACACAGGGGCCTCCTTGGACTGAGGAGGAGGGGGTGGGGTGGGGGGGCACCCGGAAGTGTTTGTATTAAGGGACAGAAACCACGTCAGGAGTGTGCAAAGGACCGGCCAGGTGGCTAATATCCAAGGCAGGAAGCATGAGCCCTGGGGGAGTTCCCACTCTAGTGGGAGAGAAGTTTCTCTCGTATGGGCCTTCTCAACGCAGAGGAAGGCTGGAGGATCAGTCCCCAGGCACACCTTAGCTTACTCACGCCAGCTGTCTCAAACACGAGGGACAGCAAGGAGCAGTGGCAAGGCAGGCAGACCCGGGCCCACTCCTGGTTTGACCCTGTGTGAACTTGACCAAGCCACTTAACCACTCTGGGCCTCTAGCCACTCTGGGCCTCTCTAACCACTCTGGGCCTCTCTAAGTGAAGGTCCCCACCCTGAGAGTTACCGAGAGAGGTCAATGAGATCGTGAGGAGAAAATGCTTGCTCACTGCCTGGAGCCTGGGCCCTCCATAAACGGTGATCTCTTCAAATAACTGTGATGTAGGTACGTTTTATTAAGTCAATCCTCCACCCCATGCAGTAAGAGTATCATCACTATCCCTGTTTTATCTGAGGCGCCGAAAGTTCCAGTCACTAGCTCAGCGGCTAAGTTGGTTGAGCTAAACTTTGAAAACTGGAGCCCCGGTAGACGAGCGGACCTGTGAGAACAGTGTGAGGGTGGGGAGGTAGGCAGAGAGCACGAGTTTGAGGGACAAATCCTAGCCAACCAAAAAGATCGACAGGAATGTTGCAGATAGAAGGTGGGGGCTGGCCTTCCTTAGAGATTGTCTTAATCCCCTATGAGTAGGACTAAGGCCCACTTAGTCCCCTGTGAGTGAGTTTCTATTATGTGTGCCCTTCTGCTGAAGGTGCTCAATGCACACCTGAGCAGTGAACGAGAAAACGAATGTGCTTGCCAGAGACGGCCTGGTTCAAAGCAAGAAACCGAATGCATGGCCAAGTTGGTTCAGACTCGCAGTGCCTGATAGAATAGAGTAGAATAGCCTAGTAGGATCTCCAACACTGTGAATCTTGACGGAAGCAGATTGCCACCGTTTTCTCCTGCAGAGTGTCTGACAGCAGACCTCTCCGTCAGCAGCCAATCAATCAGTTAACCATTTCACCACCTGGGCCCCGTGACCCGGCCTGCTCTTTTCTGGGTCACTGCCTGACACTTCCAGACAAGGACAGGAAATCCAGCTGCCCAGCAGTGAACTAGATTTAAGGAGGTAAACGCCCAAAGGCCCCCTCTGTAACGCCACCAGGAACGGGGCCTGGACCCCGTGGTCGTCGTGGGCCCTGTGCAGCACGTCCTGCGAGATCGGCTTCCAGGTCCGCCAGCGAAGTTGCAGCAACCCGACGCCCCGCCACGGGGGCCGCATCTGCGTGGGCAAGAGCCGAGAGGAGCGGTGAGCTAGCGTGTGGTCTGGGCCTGCCCAGGAGGGCAGACTCCATCTTTCCCGGGCTCCAAGTTCCCAGAGACCCCGTGTTCAGGAAGGGCAACCGGCGCCCTGAGGTGACCACCCCTCCACCCCCCCACCCCCCCACTCTCCTCAGGTTCTGCAATGAAAACACACCCTGCCCGGTGCCCATCTTCTGGGCGTCCTGGGGCTCCTGGAGCAAGTGCAGCAGCAACTGTGGGGGCGGCGTGCAGTCGCGGCGGCGGTCCTGTGAGAACGGCAACTCATGCCTGGGCTGCGGAGTGGTGGGTCCGGGGCGGGGGTGGGGACCCCTCTGGCAAGTGAGACCAGGCAGGGTGTAGGGGAGTCAGGGGCTGGGGGTCCGCCGGACGGCTGCCGGGCAATAAAGGGCCACTTGCTTCGCCTGGAAAGGAGTTCAAGACGTGCAACCCCGAGAGCTGCCCTGAAGTGCGGCGCAACACGCCCTGGACGCCCTGGCTGCCCGTGAACGTGACGCAGGGCGGGGCGCGGCAGGAGCAACGCTTCCGCTTCACGTGCCGTGCGCCCCTGCCGGACCCCCACGGCCTGCAGTTTGGCAAGAGGAGGACAGAGACGAGGACCTGCCCTGCGGATGGTTCGGGAGCCTGCGACACGGATGGTACAGCCCCACGCCCTTACCACCCCCTGTCCCTCCAGGCCCCAGGGCGGTGGTGGCGGTGGCGACAGCTGGGGGTGAAGCTCAGGGGCGGCAGGGTAGGGGCGTGGGGACCCCCTCATTGCTGAGGTCGATCCCCTCCCCAGCCCTGGTGGGCGACCTCCTGCGCAGCGGGAGCGCCTCTCCACACATGGTGAGCGGGGGCTGGGCCACCTGGGGCCCCTGGTCGTCCTGCTCCCGGGACTGTGAGCTGGGCTTCCGTGTCCGCAAGAGAACGTGCACAAACCCAGAGCCCCGCAGTGGGGGCCTGCCCTGCGTGGGTGACGCGGCCGACTACCAGGACTGCAACCCCCAGGCTTGCCCAGGTAATCTCTCCCATAAAGAATCCTTGCATGGGGTTAAACCCCAGCCC